AAGCACAGTACTGCTTTTTATCAAGAGCAACAAGTATATCATTGATCACTTTTGTAGCCGCAGTGATGGTACTGTGCTTTTTCCTGAAGCCTGATTGCAGTTTTGAGAGAAGATCATTTGAGGTTAGAAACTCTTTTAGTTGATCACACACAAGAGATTCAAGAATTTTTGACAAGACACACAAATTTGATATTGGCCTGTAGTTAGTTAAAGCTGCTGGATCACCTCCTTTTAATAAGGGGGTAACAAAAGCTGACTTCCAGACGGATGGAATTTCTTTGTTTTCGATTGAGAGATTAAAAAGGATTGTTAGAGGCTGTGCTACAAAATCAGCTGCTATTTTCAAAAAGTAGGGCTCTATCAAGTCAGATCCAGGGGGTTTTCTGTGATCTAACGTTTTGAGGGCTTTATGCACTTGCTGCACAGTAATATCACCTTCGTACATGGGGCGCAACTTCACCAATAGGCTACCTGTGCCTCGACCACCAACATTTAATACAATCTTTGAAATGTGTAAAAACCTCCTTAAATGTGGAGCAGCCGTTCCACTCTGTCCTGAAGCACTGAGGTGTGTCCATACTGCAGCGGCCACAGTCCACTGCGTCTTTAATACACAAACCTTCTAATTGCAATCAAAATGACAAAACAGCATATGTCAGGTCCTCAGAGAGTGGCAGCAGCGTGTCCAGCAGGCTCCACAAATGATGAGTGATGCTTGACAAATGAACACTAGATTGGCTACATAAATTAGCTTCTTTGTGTTGTCACCCTGTAACAACTGGAGGCTAGCATCACCACATCAATCAGAGCTCTGATTGAAGGAGAGCAGGGAAAAGGAGGGTGGTATGGATGGGGGGAAAAAAGCACTGATTAAGATTATAATAATATATATTTAGAGATATGAAGAGAAGAAGACAAAAATCCAGACACATGGATCAGCTACATTACAAAAAATCATTGATTGTAACTTATTGTGAAGATATTTTTGATTGTACTTGAAATGTACAAGACTTTCCTATATTCCTATATATATAGAAAGTCCTATATTGGCATATAACCTTGCAATTAAATTATTTCATTTTCCTATAAAATGCAATTCATCCATAATCCATGTTCTGATACAAATATTTTGCATTGCAGACAGTGGCAATTTTGGAGTTTGTTGTGGTCCAAGGCAAAAAATGCACAGGGGGCCCCTCAAAACAGCGACCAACCCCATTAAGTTATAAACACTGTCTTTACCAACTCATCTTTTGTCTCGTTCATATTTAAGGCTTGACAAGCATATTTCAGTTATTTACTTTTATATAAGTTAATGCTGTAAAATGCAAATTTAGTCCTGTCTTTAATTTCCTACTGTCTTTACAGATGTTGCACATTTTGAGCCACTGCTGTGGTTCACACCTTGGGGGCCCCCTACTGGCCCAAGCAGTTGCCTGCCTTGCCTGCCTTGCCTGCCTTGCCTGTTGACAAGCAGCGCCTCTGATTGCAGATTAAGGGTCTTTTTCAAAACGGCCACTACACCCTACCCCTACCCACTACCCCTTCGTTTGCGCTTCCTCACGGAGGGTCCGCCATATTAATTCCGTCCCAAACCAATTAGCAGGGAGTGGTAGTGGGTTATAAAACCCTCCACCAGCGAGTGTGCACCGATGCTTTGTGACTGACTTTCGGATCATGTGCAACGCCTATTGTGTCCGGTCGTCATGGATGAAGCAACCTGTGAGTTCAAACAATGCTCCAACTAAGATAGACATTTAATATCGTCATACAGACGTTAACAACTTCAAATGTGTATTGAGGATCAAATATATGTTTATTTATTGTTAAGTGTTTTATATTTACAGGGACTGTTGCAAAAACAAAATAATATTAAATCATGTTGCAGAGAACTTTTCACTGTTAATATTTATTTCTTATTTTTCTACTTTTGATGTCTTTGTGAAATCTCAATTCAACAACAAAAAATACACTTTTTGCTGCTCTGATGTTCAACAATATTATCCTTATCTTAAGGAGCATTAATTTAGGACACCCTGTTCTAAACATTACAATAAATTAATTTAAATTATAAATTACAATAAACAATGTAGGGTCAATCTCATAGTTTTGTTATAAGTCTACACTAATATAACTAAAGAAGAAGAAGAATAATCTAGGCTACATAAATGTTTTTACAGAATGCATTAGCTACAACAAAAAAAGCTGTTCCCGTAAGATACCGCTGAGTAACCATAGTAACATACAGTTCCTGTTTCCACCTGAGAGAGGGAAGTTTTTCCCAAAGCCTGCCGCTGTATTTCTACCTTGCACCTTGATGAGGGAGACTTCATTCAGCTGAGAGTGTGACTTCTAACGGAGGGGGAGGGTGTAGGGTTTGGTTCGAAAAAGGGCTCACCTGTTTATATCTCATGTGATCTGATAGTCAGCTGTTTACATGCACTAATGCATTTAATTGAAACAGCTGGCTGTGTAACATGCACGTAAGTGATGCACACCTTCATCAAACCATTCAGTAATATGTGTTGGAACATTAACATGAATATCTTCTGTTCAGGGCTTATTGTTGTTTCTCAATCGAGCAACAGTTTGAACACTATGTCCCTAACAATGTACTCCTCCAGTCCAGTAGGTGGCATCGATGCAGCCATAAGCACATGCAAAACCACGACTAAAATTCAAAGCACACATGCCATACACACTGGAGTAGCTGTGGATCAGTGGTAGGGTGCGTTCGAATTGTCCCTCCTTTCTCCTTTCACTATCCACTTTACCTTAACCCTGTGAAAACGTCATGAGGTTAAGGAAAGATGTTAGGAGAATTCATAAAGGACTTAGGGAAAGGTGATCTCGTTGCTCTGACAATCCGACCACATTTTCCACTAGGCGACGTCATTAAATGCGACGAGCCAGCGGAGGTTAATGACGTGGGTCTCCCGTGTTGAAACTACAGTGTTCCGAAAATGGACTACAAAAAACGCATCTAAAAAACTTTCCCCTGTGCCTTCTTACCGGTGAAATATTCCAAATTACCACAAGGTTGGGATTTAAATAAAATAAATATAGGCTACCAGGCTACAAGTAACAAAAATGAAACCTTCAGCTTCCTGTCCACTCAGAAATCAACCTCAACATAAATATGATTGTATGAAATGAATTGTTACATTTCTGCAAAATATAGCCTACACATAATGTTTTAAGCATACAAATGTACAACTGCACAAAACATTCTTAAGTGAATGAAATACATTGAATAAAACATCATCTTGATAAAAATGTCTATTATCTTTTTATCCTTTACATGATCTGTGTCACTTCACGATCATCGTTCATTTCCGTGAACGGTCAGATGCGCGACTTGCTTTAAATGTTGCGGCCGCAAGGAATTGTGGGGCGGCATATCTCATCTCCTTTCGTAAAGGATGGTCCAGTGTATCCTATGCTAAAGGAGGTTCTAAAGGAAGCATTGACCCATCTTTCCTTAACTTTTAGAGAATTCAAATGGCTCTTATCATGGCCGCCACTTAAATGTTTCCGGGGTTAAGGTAAAGTGGATAGTGAAAGGAGATAGGAGTGACAATTCGAACGCACCCGTAGAGTCGGCCGTCTCTCAACTGGAAGGTCAGAGGTTTGATTCCCCATTTCCTGTGGTCATATGTCATATGTCCTTTGGCAAGACACTGAACCCCAATTTGTTCCTGCTGTTACGCCTGTGGCATGTGAATGTGTATGAATGGGATAAGTGATTACTGATTGGCTCTTTACAAAGCATCCTCTGCCATCAGTAGGGGAATGTAAAGTATGAGCAGCTTTGAGTAAGGCAAGGCAAGTTTATTTATATTTATTTTATTCAAATAAATATATAGCATAACAATGGTTTCCCTTCAGTGATCTGCTTAGGAGCCTCATCTTCAGCACACAAGGAATGATTCCCAAGTTAGATACATCTGTAGAATAATATAACTGCCTTGTGTTTCTTGGCAGAGTCCCCTTTTTTCTTCTATTACTTACTACTAGAGATTTTACTGACATATAGGGCCACAGAGTATAGTCAGAAGACAAGCAAAGCACAACAGAAGTCCATTTACCATGTCTAGATTGAGACCATGCAAAGAAACAGCACAGACATGGAGCAATCAGGTTTATCTATTTACATTGTACAAGTTCTTTTAACCATAGGTTTTTAAAAAAAGTCCTATATGCTGACAGATAATAGTTGAATATTTCAGAGTCAGTATATTCTTAAAGGTTACATATTTTGCTAAATAGACTACCATGGTTTTCTAACACTAATATGTGTCTCTAGTCTGTCTACAAACTCTTTCATTGTGAGAAAAGTCCATCCTCTCCGTCTTTTGCCTGCACCACTTTTTAGAAAATGTGTGCTCAAACAGGCCGTTTGGAGATTTTCCCTTCATGACATCACAAAGGGCAGTAACCCCTCCCCCAGGTGGGTGACACTCCCACAGCTAGGTGTTTGTTCTGCCATCTGATTCTTCCTTCTCACAATAAACAACAGGGTATGGATTGAGAAAGCCACAGTCACATCACCTTCTAGAGGGGCGTGGTCAGACACAGACACAGAAACAGCATATTCTGAGCAGGGCTGAAATAGAGGGGTTTATAGGCATGATACAGGATCAGAGTGGATTTAGAACAAGAAACTTTCACCGACATGGGAGCCATGAGACTGATGGTTGTAAAGAATTATAATGCATGACCTTGAAGGTGTTTATACATTATATTTAGCTTAGATTCAACTTAAGTATCATTGCATAAGTACAAGTACTGCACAAGTAAATGTTCTGTTTTGGCTTTTAAAGCATTTTCATGATAAAACTTGCTCAAGTAAGCAACTATCTGTTGAAATAGAGAAATATTTGGAAGCATAAGAGTAAAGTATTAGTTATTAAAGTAAAGTTTACATGTCAATATAAAATCATAATATTGAAGTTACATTTAACAACTTTCTATTACTACAGATGCAACCAGGACAATTCTTTTTATAACAAAAGGATTAACATTTATTCTTACTGATTTAAACAGATGCCACAAAAAAGATCAACATTTAAAAGTTTGGAACTGTCAAATACTGACATTAATCACATCCAAGATTACATAGTCTTGAACGACTGATTCAATTACAATTGATAAAACACAAACAGGATGTTTGCAATGTAACAAAGTACATAGTATACATAGATATTTTTAACACATGACAAGGATATACAGTAAGCATACTTTTAACAAAGCAACTAAATGCATTAAAATTTGGCATCAACGCGAGACATCAAGGTAATCCAACTCTGGTTGAAGCCTGAATAAAATTCTGAAGAAATTCCTTAATGAATCCAAACATCCCCTCTGTCCAGCTTGATCCATGTCAGTGGACAGCATTATGACACACAATTAGATAAATATTAAGCAGCAGCACTAATATTTAAATCAACAACATTCTGGGTGTGAGCCTCTCGAAGCCTCTGTTTTTGGACACTATGATGGACCCCGTAGCTAAAATAGATGATCAGACCTGAGAAGAAATGTTGGAAAATCACCATCCTCTACCAATTATGGACAATGATGAAGCTTGTTATTTAGGCATGTATAGGTGGGAATACCCTTACCTACTGCCATCCAGACACCATAGCTGATCCAAGTCTCTCCTCCCAGTTGAACCATCAGGTAGGTATTAATAATAACACTTAGAACTGGAATTACAGGCAGACCAGGAACCTACAAAAATATATCTCATCAGTGGTTCTGTTTGGTAAAATGACAGTTTCCCATATTGAGAAGTTTTTTCCTACTTTCAGAGAAAGATAAATATCACTCTAAAGGCATTCCTCCATGAGCTAGCTATAACCAGTAGCAGGTAAGCATATTTTAGCACACAACAATAAAAAGAAGGGAGAAATGACAATCTTAATTTGCCAAAATTAGCAGCTGTAGCCATCATTGTGCCCTTTCAGTAATGGTGTTATATTGGTGTCCCAGTGTGTGAATTTATATTGCATGACAGTGTAGGAGAAGGGTGAGAGGCACAGTGTGTAAGCACACAGTGGGAGCTCTACATACACGCACATACAGCGCGCTTCGCCGGCTCTATTACGTTAAACATCGCCACCATCAGTCGCATCATGTGCATTGCATATTGTGTGACAGGCCTAATAGGGGCATCATTATCCCACCTTTAACTGGCAATCTGTGAGCCAGCAGCGGGTTGTTCTAATGGGGGTTGGTCCTGTAACATACTGTTGAACTTGATGTGCCCATCCTCAGCCCTGAAGTAAAACCCACTGGTTTCACCCCTAGACAAGATATCTCAGTAAAACTGTAAACTGTTAAATCTCCACATACATGGTTACCTCCCCAATACCACCACAACTCAGTTTACCATGAAAGCAGCTTTAGCTGTGCTCTGTGGCTGCCTCCAGATGATCACAACAGCCAGGATCAGTGTCAGCGTGAAAACGGTGACGAGCAGTGTGCTCCACCACTCTCGCATGCGGAGGGAATACAAAGCCTCTGACACCAGCAGGCTTAAAAAGACGACCAGGAACACTGCAGAGGAATCAAAGACATCAGGGGAGATTTTTGGACAAAATTGGCAAATTTGAAAAAACTCAATTGTGCAGTTCAGTTAGCAATAAGTATGTAAGGGGCACTAAATCGCATATGGTAATTCAGAAACATCACTTCAACCGTTAGTGGAATTTTTCACATGCTCTTTAGAACAGCTGAGCTTGCCTGTCACAAAAAGCAAATGTGACCAATCAAAGTAGCTGCTAACAGGGATTGCATAACAGCCATTACAGCTTATTTCATAGGTGCCAGGTAAGATAATTATTGGAGTGATTGCAAAACATTTCGTTAAAACATGTCCTTTAACAAAACATATGTTAAAGGGCCCAAGTATAAGATCTTTAAATTACTCTTAAGGTAAAATGTCAAGTAAAGCTGGTCAAACGTGAGCATCTCAGAACAAGCCACACCATCATATAGGAGAAAATACAACCGCGCCAGTGTGGGAGAACATACAAATGATAACAGTCATGATGTTGACATTTTTAGAGGTGCGATGGGTGGGCCGTGATGGAGGCCTGAACAGCCCCGTTACAGTAAACGGTTCTGATCTGTGGATGAAACCAGCGTCTTCTTTGTACCTAAGGAGAAGAAAAGACAACATGTTTAAATGTAGCAATCCCTGCATGACCATAATTAAAATAATCATAAAAAGCATTTCCATCTACTCTAAGTTTACATACCTCAATATGAGAACACATATGGCAACAAGAGAGTAGGCGAATATGGTCCCAATTGAACTCATGTCAACCAGCGCCTTCAAGTCGAATAACAGGACCATGAAAGCTGCAAAGAAATTCAAACGTTACTTACTAAGAACATGCCAGGATGCTCTTTATGATGCCAAAGACTTTAGGCATTACAATACATCAATTAAGAGTTACACATCTTGGAAAAAGTCCGATGGTTGGGATAAATGTGTTTAATCTGCAGGTCAGATTTTTCTGAAATATTTCAACTACATGGAGACCAATGAAACCCATTATCTACCTAACCCTGTCTCGAAAACCCTAGATGATTGGATTATTTGGTGGATGATTACAAAGGACATGTTTTTTTATTTCTACAATGTCTGAGAATGATATCCACAGTATCATTGAGCATTAGGTAAAAAGTGAGGCTACAACCATAAAGCAAACTAATTTCAGGTTTTCCATGAGATGTGAATCAGTCTCATGCATGAAATTCAGATTTGTTGGAGGATGCAAATCTACTACCTCCTTAGTCTCTCTCTCATCACTTACAGGGCAAGCACAATAGTTCTGATGTATACCATCACATACAGAATGGTCCAATACGTTCACAATTATTGAAGTTTTGCTGTTCTAAACTCCTAATTGCCACTTAGAGGGTTGTTAAAGCCACATCTGTGACACCATTGCAAAAAGGTATAACTTTATAAGCTTACCAGCCACAGCTCCTGAAGCCAGTGTGGCCAAGACAGGACTCTGCCTGGAGCTCATGTAACAAAGAGGTTTGAAGAGCAGGCCGTCTCTCGCCATGGCAAAGAGCACACGTGGCATCGGAAACATCACTCCCAAAAGACTGTGGGAGAATAAAAACAGCCAGAAGAGTAAAAGGAAAAGCTTGGAAACCCCAATATTCATTTCCAGTTGTCAATCTTGTGAAATTTATGGCAAGCAATCAGCATTTTACAGATAAGTTTGTTTACCAGTCATGGTGAGTACTGCTTACTCTTTTTGATATTGTCTCCTTTCGCTTTGGATTACATGTCATGCCTGTCAAATGTAAAACAAAATGGCCTACAATGCAAACTGACACTTAAAATAGGCTCTGGATTTGATATTGAGAGAAACCTATGGATCTAGCCTTTTGCATCTTCATGTACATGTTATTTTCTTTTTAAGTTAGAATTATTTTTTTAATGAAGAAAATATTTTATTTCAGTAAGAGGAAGAATCATGTCTGAAACACCTGCTGTGATTTAGCAGGACCATATAACATGTTGGTAGCAGGGATGGCATCTCCACCAGCATTCAGGGCTCTTGCTGGAAAGCTCTTTCACTTTCAATCAGCAGACCATCATTCTTGCTCTCTCTCTTGTGAAACCAGGAATCAACACTGGCGTAAAGCCTTAACACAAACAAAGTGTTTTCTAAACCAAAGTAAACAGCTTTGGTGCCTAAACTCATGAGAGAAAAAAACCTAGCTAGGACCAAAGAAAATATGAATTAAGGCTCAGTGATGTAACCCACTGGTGACCAAAGAGATGTTTTGAACCCGAACAATGTCGGTCGCCATATTGGAAATGATAACACTACCTAACTATCGGTCATCCTTGTAAAAGGAAAAAAAAAAAAAAAAAAAAATTGGGGTCAAGGCTTTCCTTAATTCTCCCCGGCAAACAGCTGCCTACTAAACAAAATACTGAAATGGGTGTTAATAGAGCTTTTGGAACCAGCCTCAAGAGGACACTTGAGGAACTACAGTTTGTGCTGCTTGGTTTGGACCCCAATTAATCAAGTTCTCCTGGGTTCAAGTCCTTTTTTTACACCTTCCTCTCTTGCAACAGTTCTGGATAATAATGGTTTTAATGTCAAGAAATTCTAGGTAATCATTATGTTTGTATTTGCGATAAAAAGTACCAAAAATAAACTTCAGACATTGAACTTCCACCTCCTCACATCAAATCACATTAAGCTAAAAGGGACAGAACACCAGTACCTTGTTGAGAGTGCACATAAGGATCCTACAGCCACAACATACTTTGCAGGCTCCCAGCCAATGTATTCAAAGGCAACAGGTAAGGGGCTGTGTGTGTCGAGCAGATAGTAAGGCATCATGAGTGTCAGAGCAGCCGACACACCAAAGTAAGCCAGGAAGCAGATGAGCAGAGATGCCACAATCCCAATAGGTATCGCTTTCTGTGGGTTCTGGACCTCTTCGCCTGAAAGAGCATGCGAGTTAGCTTCTCTCCTTCATAGGACAATATATAACATTTTCCTTTAGATATTTAAACTCTCATGTTACAAAAAAATTGTTTACAGTCATCAAATTGAGTCATTAAAAGTCATGCATAATAATACGTACCCGTTGTGGCAATGCAGTCAAATCCAACAAAAGCATAGAAACAGGTTGCTGCTCCGGCTAAAGTTCCATCAAAGTCAAATGGGAAGAAGCCGCCAACGCCAAAGTCGAATTCAGTTGTTTCATTTTGCGACAACATAAGGTTCCTGTAGAAACAATAACATAATCAGTGAAATCAAGGTATAATAGTAAAAAAATACCTATACTACAAAGGAAAAAAAAAAAAACTATGAAGACATGCGGTTGCTAAGGACACATGGACTGTTATATCAAGCAACAGAAAGTTGTGTGGTTGATTTGAGGTTAAACTGAAAGGAGAAAGGAGAGAAAAACAGCTGTGCACGTGTTAAACAAATTACAGTCTTGTATGGGATATGGTGGTGTTTTATTACACTAGTAAAGAAATAAAATGTCAACGAACTCTGGAAGTGACATGATGGAAAAACTCAGCAAGGGGCTGTGCAGAATCATGCAGACCGGTTGACTGTGTCTCATCTCTATATCCTCAGTGGAAATGTTCAGTCCAATGTTCCCTTTGGTTAACACCCGGCTCACTAAACACAATCAGTTACATAGTTTTACATTTCTACACATTGGCATCTTTGAAATTACATTTCCCTCCAATTGAGCTTTTTTTTTGCAGTTTGCCCATTAATATAGAGACAAACTGGATTACATTGAAGAAAACAATAAACGTTTTTTTCCCCCATCATTTCTTCAATGACATCCCAGTGCCAATAATGTACGCCAATAAGCTTTAACGTGAAAGTATGATCTTACTCTATCTGCCGACTGGCATTCAGGATGGTCTCCTGACTGATCTGCCAGTTGCTGATGTCTCCTTTTATAAAGCCAGCAATGATAATAAAAACGAGTACAGCTACATTCACTGCAGTAAAAACTGTGTTCACGACCGCTGACTCCTTCACACCATACGCAAGGACCCCTGAAATTAAAAGAGAGAGGTTTAACATTGTAGCTGATTTTTTACAGTGCCGAGTATCCTGCATCCTCTACTCTTGTTGAACTTCATTATTACAGATATTACCAGCAAGCAGCATGATGAGCCCAGCAGCAAAGAAATCTGGGTACAGAGCCAAGCCAGGCGAGTCCATCGGTGTGTGCTCTCCCAGAGTTTCACCAATAATGTTGTCAATCAGGTCATCGAAGGTCCCAGTCCAGGCTTTCGCTACACTAGATGTCCCTGAGAGGAACAAAAAAAATAATCAATGTTAATGCACAAAATTGGGATTATACACATAACTACATTTAATCTTTCCAAAACCCCAATCATTAACAGAGTCACCTCGACTTCTTACATCAAACTTTTCTCACTCCATCACCAACATTCACATTATGCACAGAGGGTCTCATCGACTCTTGCATACGTTTTGGACTTGTAAAGATTAAAGTCTTTTTTGCAATATGGTTTGTAATTTCCATCACCAAACTCTTGGTTTAGTTTAGACAAGTTCTTTATTTTTGATAGTTTGTTTACTTTGTTTTTGTTTGCCTGGATGGAACAGACTGATTGATAGGTTCAGTCGGTCAACAACATGTTGAATACATGCTTCTTATCAATTGTTGAGCTTGTTGCCTTCAGAGAACTTATTTTCAAAATACCACCATATTGAAAAAGGTTACAATGTTATAGGATGTTTGCCACAGCACAATTCTGCCACAGCAACACTAAATACAAATATTGAAGCAAAAAAGTCATGCTAAAGGTTATTTCCTACAGTAAGTAATTGAGTTACTTTAATAAAGCAGTAACTTTTCTTTTTGATAGTAGTGCCCATCAATTGTTAGTAGTAGGACAGTGTGAGCTTAAGGGTGACAACTCACTACCTTTTTTTATTCAAAATTAAACACAAACAAAGAAACATCCAAAAGATAAAACACAAATCTGCATCCCTTTCTGGCAGTGATAGGTAGGCCCTGCTCTGATAATATGTGATTTAAAGGTGCACTATGTAGATTTGGTAGTGAAAGTTGAGAGAAGTGAAAAAAAAGTCTATGCTTTGTTTTCTGATCTAAATACATAAACTTTATTCACTCTGTTTGGAGCTAAAAAGCTACCAGGAGAGTTACTGTTTCACTGTTGGGGGCCCCACCCCATACATACCCCACTTCTCACGTAGCATTTTATCTTTAAACAGTGTTACAGGGACCACAGTTTGTGTAGAGTTATGAACATTTACCACAGAATCTGTACATTTCTCCTTCACATTTCTCAACCAAAACTCCATAGTGCACCTTTAAGCTGAACAAAATTGCCTAAATTCTTCTTTGTTTCACACCGTGCATAATTGGACAGGATGACCTTACACCTTCCATAAGAATATTAACTGACATACCCTTCATACTCACAGCATTCTTGGGAATCATTAATGTCACTATTTTAATGTCACTGAAGTAACTCCTCAGAAACACCTGTATCATGTGTTTTACTTACCAATGACGTAGGACAGCAACAGGTTCCAGCCGGTCACAAATGCCCACACCTCTCCCACAGTCACATAGCTGTAAAGATAGGCTGAGCCAGTTTTAGGGACCCTGGCTCCAAACTCGGCGTAACACAAGCCGGCAAAGACCGAAGCCAGCGCCGCGATCAGAAAGGAGATGATGATACTGGGGCCGGACACCTCCCTGGCCACCTCTCCTGACAGCACATACACGCCAGCTCCAAGTGTGCTGCCAACACCCAGACCCACCAGGTCCAAGGTGGTCAGGCATCGGCAGAAGTTAGACTCTTCACCTTCTGGCTCCAGAGGCTTCTTACGGGTCAGGGTCCGAATGAAGCGTAAAACTTGATCACAAGATTTTGTGCATCCCGAAGCACTGTGGAAAATCAGAACATGGCATGCATCACACCATGGGTACAAGAAATACAATTAAAAAAACAGTTCCTCATGTTTTACAACTATATACATGAAATACTGTTTGTATAAACCAGCCTTTGTTAAAATGCATGTTGATTGGTGGGTTAACTTGAATAAATGAGTAAACTGTGAACCAAACATCTGATCATGGTAACATGAAGTGCAGATGTGAAGAAGCATTACCTGCAAGCCATTGCAAGCTTGTGTGTTTAGACTGCCATCAACATTTGGAAAAACAAAAAGCAGCGTTTTCTTACTGCTGCTGGTGAGGGATTGACAGAGAGCACTCAGAAGGGGAAAAACGTCTTTCTACCTCCAGCTTGCAGTCTGCTACCAGCCCTGCAGCCTGCTGCACACCTGAAATCAGTTAATCAATCAGTCCACTGAGAGGGAGGCCTCCTGACTGACATCATCTGCTTCCTCTACATATCAGTGGTCCAATCCCAAACATTGGACCTCATTCACCAATATATTAAGAATTAAACAAGATTTTTCTGTTATTGAGAACAAGGCCCAATAACTATACAAAAAAAAACCTTATGACCAAGCCGAATGACACAAAATTGGTAACTTCAGTTGGTTCTGGACCATGACTAGCAAACTGGGTGAATAGTAATCAAAATCAAAATCATTAATCAATGAATGAAATCATTTTATTATTCTTTTTGAAAAACTGTAACGGTAAATAGACTTGAGCTTGTACAGTGCTGTTGAAGTCTTCTGACTACTCAAAGCACTTTTTACACTGCAGGTCACACCTACACATTCACACACTGATGGCAGAGGCTGCTAGGTAAAGTGACCATCAGTTTTAGCTAATCCTATTCATACACATCCATACTTCACCGACAAAGCAGTGGGAGCAACATGGAGTTAAGTGTCTTGTCCAATGACACGTTGCTGCAGGAGCTGGGGGTCAGACCCTCATCTTTCCAGTTGAGAGACGACCAACTCTACCAACTGAGCAATAGCTGCCACTTTTCTGACTAATAAAAATAACTCTATCTACTGCGTTGCTGTGCCTGTATCTGCAGAAACCCTTCCCACTTCTTGTGTTTTCTGAATGTTTCACTTTTCAATAAGTTCAAGACTTTTTCTAGGGGGGAACATTTGGGCAGCTTTGTTGCCCCCAACCCAACAGCATGCAGGTATGAGGTCAAGACTTCAAAGATGTGAGCCCCTGCTGACATGTTACACCTATGTCTTTGTCTCAATTCCGAGTGTGCGTTTGAAGGCTGACCGCAGAGGAGGCTGTCTCATTTCGACCCAAACGACAAAAACACTGTAGAGAAGAAAGATGGAGACTGGAGGCAGATATGCAGAGAGGTGATAGTACAAGCACAAGGGTGAGGCAAAGGTGTGAGTGTGGTCGGTGCAGAGGAGTAAAGTTGAGAAGGTGTGTATTAAGTAGGCAGGCAGAAAGGAGAACAGGGGTAGAGATACTGTTGGGCTGATGAGTAGATGGAGGGCAGGTGTGCAGGTTTGAGCAGGTGGATTGAATGTGCAGTAATCAGGAGAGTGTCAGTGGAGAAAGCCACGCCCATGCCATCAAACATCAAAGTGGAACTTGCAACTTCTGCAATTCAATGGAAACTGTTGATGTCATCTTTATCTGCTCCATGAACACTGACAAAAGACAGTTATTTAAAATCAATCTGGAACATGTAGGAATTACAAATATATATATACCTGGTAAATGGGCTTGAGCTTATATAGCACTTTTCTAGTCTTCTGACTACTCAGAGCATTTTTACGCTGCAGGTCACACCTACACATTCACACATTCACACATGGATGGTAGTGATTGCTATGTAGTATCATCCATCAGAAGTAACTAATCACATTCATACACCACCACTGAAGCAGTGGGAGCAACTTGGGGTTAGGTGTCTTGCCCAAGGACACATCAGACATTGAACCCTTGCCCTTCTGGTTGAGAGGCAACAACTCTACCAACTGAGCCACAGCCGCCCCCAGTCAGGTAGCAGTCGCCTTTTAAAGAATAAGAACGCGTAGAACTTGTCGCAGGGTCGGGTGGTGACAGGTTGTCTTAACTTTTTACATATTTTTTTGTTTCTTTTTAGTTTACAGTGTTTCATCAGTTATACAATTTTGAAGACCCCACTAAATCCCCAGAGCCATCCCCCAACCCCATACCCACAAAAGGAACCAGGTGTTTAGCAAATGGGAATTTAAATAGAGTCACATAAATGTCCTTATGGTACTGGAGAATAAAACATAGACAGCAGAGTTCTCTTAACTACTAAACTGACTAGTAAATGAACGGACTGATACACCAGTTGGGAGGATGAAGGACAAGTCGTCTATCATCACTCTTGGACACTCAACAACATGATGTCAGAAACCTCTATCATGTAATACACACTTTAGACCACAAGATGGCAGCAGGAGTATTACGAATAAAAACACATCTGCGTGTGCAGACCGGGTCTCTCCTCTCTGGTCGGAGTCGATGACATAATCCCTCTCCCAATGAAAAGGAGGGAATTCTGTTTGAAATCAGGAAAGATGGAGAAGAGGAGAAAAGCAATCAGTCTTCCTAACCTTTGGAGGCAGAGGGTGGCAGCACCCTTTTCAGTTGAATCTTTTCATTTTCTTCATAACATGATTGTTATTGTAATTTGTTTATTGATTTTAATTGAATTAAACACACCAAATCTCTCTATCTCCCCTCCCCCTGACTCTTGCTTTATGCAGCAGCATGTGTGAGGAATGCCCTTGCTTTGCACCCACTATAAATTATTCAGTCTCCAATAAATATGCACAATGTTGACCATAAAAAAAAACACCTACAAAAGAATACAATAACTCTCCACAGCACCAACCTCCCACACTCGAGTTTGTGTGGAGTAATAGTGATAGTGTGGATGGCAGGAAGCCAGCAGAGTGTGTGTGTGTGTGTGTGTGTGTGTGTGTGTGTGTGTGTGTGTGTGTGTGTGTGTGGTGGGGGGGTATGTGTGTGTGGCCTGGGTCACTGTAAAGTTGTTCTCTACACTATCTATCTGCTCTAATGGAGTGGTAATTGTTTGCAGCGTACTGAAGCAATTTCTTAACCTCGTCTTGGCAGCGTGGAGGAAATCAATGCTGTTTGTCATTGCTCTGTGTTGTGCAGTCACACCTACTGTATGTGTGTGTGTGTGTGTGTGTGTGTGTGTGTGTGTGTGTGTGTGTGTGTGTGTGTGTGTGTGTTTGTGTGTGTGTTGCCTGCATCTGTGTGCAGGGTAAGCATCAGAAGTTGAATATGGTCACCATGGAAACCCCCTACCCAGGAAAAATGTAACATTCGGCACAGGCTGCTGGGTGTGTGTGTGCGTGTGTGTGTGTGTGTGTGTGTCTGTGTGTGTGTGTGGGGGGGGGGGGGGGGGGTAGTCTCCTCAGCGAGGATGCTGATGGACAAATAAAGGCGGGACAACCCTGAACATGACCCCTCCACTGTACTCAGAGATAAGAGAAGAGTTTCTTGATAAATCTGCCAACCATTGAAGACTTCTACCAAAAGGTTAACCTTCAACTTTGAGTCACTTCTGAATTGATTCACAAGATGTCCTTCAAAACATATTCTAAATCTTTATGGCAATATATCAAATATGGCAGCTTGGTTGGTATATGACTCATAAGTAGCCCCTCTATCATCATCTTTGCACATGCAGGACTCCACGCAGAAGCAAACAGTAATGTATATAAAACATCCAGAAAAAACTTTGACTACAATTCAGTTGAGTTTATCAAACATCGTCATTTGTTTTTGAATTGTTGAGAAGGAATAATGTGCAACTTTTTGTTCCAGTAGATGTCGCCCTTGAGCACCAGCATTTCTGCTCTATTCATGTGTAAATACATTCCTTTTTTAACTAAGGATTCAACATACAGTCAACTCACACTACAATGCATATTATGATATTGGATTGAGACTATTACTTTATCACTTTTTTTCCCTTGTAACATGGCACTGTTCTGCTTTCAAACACTTGCATAGAGTTATCTGCGATCAGACACAAGGGCCAAGTGATTAGATATGCCTTAATCACTAACAAATCAACTGCAGCATCACCCCGCATGTCTCTAACACTCTGGGGAGCTTACAGATAGGATGCCTCCTCCTTTCTAATTAAGGCGGCTCTTTCACTTCCCTCATGTCTACTACATCACACTGTCAGAGGCCACTCGCTGCCTAATCCTGCAGCCTGAGTAATGGCTGAAAAGGTGACGGGTTGTTAAAATGTCCAGGCATTCAATTGCAATGGCGTGGCAGTCAGCACAGCCCGTTGAAAACTCATTTCTGAAATGTGACTTTGGTTGAGAGTGAGGGCGAGATTTGTTTAGTTCTTATTAGCATGGTCGACACGGGCCAATGATATGCTCTGTTTTCATTTGGATCGGAGCACAGAAGAGAACTGGAAGACAAAAAAAGGAGAGATGATCATTATTATTACTTTATATCACCTTTAAGAGTTGTTCATTTTGATTGCGTATTTAATTGCATTCACTAAAAACTATGACTGAAAAGACTCCCAAAAACTTAATTCCATCTTTATTAAACCAATCTGGTTATGGGATTAGCACAAATGTGAGTTAATTCCATGAAGTAAAATCCAGACTAAAGCAGAACAGGACAGTGATGTGCGACAACAACAAGTGTTCCTATTGATTAGCAGCTGTGGTTCAGTGGTACAGGTGGTCGTCTCTCAACCAGACGGTCAGGGGTTCAATTACCAGCTAATGCAGCCATTTGTCTCATGTGTTCTTGGGCAAGACACATAAACCCAAATGGCTCCCGCTGCTTCGTTGGCGGCAAGTGAATGTGTATAAATGAGATAAGTTAGGGCGCACTCACATTCGGCAATCCATACCCTGCCCAAGCACGTTTCACCCTCAAAGTCAAAATAAGACGGTCAGTAAAGTAGCTGACATCGTTCTCTGTATTGTTCTCCGATGTGCAGACTAGGACTCGACCGCGGGTCCCTTTTTAATTTTTTAAGCATGTCTGTCTTGTAAACTGAGCATGCTTCATGATAATGTAAAGTCATGCATGACTTGTGTTATGACGTTATGTAAAGAGAGGTAAGCATGCTCAGGCCTGTTTAGTCCTAGAGGACCGTGAGTGCAGGTCAGCAGGGGAATGGGAAGGGGGAACAATCATGCCTCAGCATGGTACGGGGCAACTGGGCCTTGTGTTAGTGCACCCTTAATACTGATTGACACCTAATGTAGCAGCCTCAACCAGTCAGAAGACTAGAAAAACCCTACACAAGCTATCATTTAGTATAACACAGAAACCAGACATATAAACCATGAATTATTCTTGCAATCATCACATCAACTCATAATCATCTGTGCTGGTGTGAACAGGTAGTTATCTTATTGACACAGCAGCAGGACTGATAACAGTGCATCAAACTCAAATAATAGCTTGTCACCTGTACATTAAGTTAGTAGTAGCAGTATAAAATGTTGACATTGTCTGTCATTCCCAGAAAGTAGCAATTTCTGTTGCCACAAGTTACAACATCTTCATGAGAGACAACAGGCTTTCAGTCAACTATCATGTAAACCCATACACTTGGTATTAGTTATCAGAGAAGCAGCTGTTAGTATAACAGAGGTGAAAATCTCTTGGGGGTGTTCCTGCAGATGGCTATAATGGATGGGACAAACAACACGCAACATGT